TATATATATATATATATATATATATATATATATATTCATTCATGAAGGCTAAAATATCTGCACTGAACCGTTCATAGATTGCTCTCCAAATAGCCATTTGAATGTTCCTGCAAAGAAAACAGCTATTCATAGGCTTGATTCACACTGGAGGTAACACTTCTGTTCCCTTGCTATTTTTTTTTTTAATTACACAGCCACACATCTCACCTGACTCTGAATAGCTCACACATTAAACAGCAAAAGCAAACACATATAAATAAAATTTAAAACAGTTAACTTTAAGCATTAACAAATATCAATAGAAGAGAATGTTTCTAGCTCAGGAATGGGGTCCTTGGTGCTCTCTGAGCTTGCTTCTTCAGTGTGATGTTACTTAGTTGGGTAATGAAATGTCTGAAAGAAAACAACCACACTCAGAGATCATCAAGGACTTCATTGGGGAAAAAAAAGAAGTTCATGAAAAGGCCAGCCTACAGCTCACAGACAATGCAGCTATCTTGGAGAGTCTCCATGCCCAGAGGATCCTGATGGCACTCTGAGATTGAGCCAATCTAACCTCAGGAAGGATGACGTTCCAGGGAGTGGGTACGGCAGCACCAAAGGTTCTCTTCCTGAGTCCTATCAGATGAAACCCTTTTGTAGATGGGACCCATAACATGCTCATCTGTATAATGTAGGAACTCTTGGAAAACAACTAGCTATGTTCCATTTAAGAAGGGAGGCAATTTCTTTAAAAATTGCTTCTCTATGTATGATGAGATGGGCAATTGCCAGATATCAAACCACTTGCGGACTTCCAAGTTCCGGAGAAATTTCAATTCTCAGCTAAATTTGACAGCATATTTCCAATCAAACTTCATTGGAAGAATAAAGAAATGAAATGAGTTAAGTTTCAGAGAGGATTAATGCACTTTTACACTGCAAAGCAAATAAAAACCGGGCCCTGCTCTGCCATAGTAATTATAATCCTGCAGAAAGCCACCACTCTGTACATCATCATTATGTCACTGTGCTGCCCTCTGGCTGCTGACAAAAGATGGTGTTTTTTTTTAAAGTGCAGAAGCAACAAGAAATATTTGTGATAGGATTCCTGCCGTTTACCAGCTCAAGATGCACTTAAATAGGATTCCCACAATGGGGCAAACGGTTGTAACCATGTGTATAAGCCCTTAACCACAGGCACGTGAACAAAGTCCTTGCCCTCACTCCCTACTTCAAAGTGCTTATATAGAGCTACCATATGTGTTCAGGGGAGAAGAATCACAATAGTAAAAAGGGAAAGCACAGAATGTTGTTATTCCACAATCGCCAACTCCAAGAGACCCTTCTTCATGCCATGATTCTCCAACTGTTTAATGTAAAAATGCACGCTGCATATCTCACAGGCAAAGACACATGTTAAACTAACTAATGCCATTGCAGGATGTTGTATCCTAGATGTAGATGATTTAAGCATATGGGCTGCACTACATCTTCCCAAAGAAGAGATGTCCCACACATATCCCTAGATATTGGCTCACCTGCTTTGAAAGAACAAAACTCCTTCCTTGCCTTGAAGTCAAAGAAGTACAGTTCAACATTTCTTTTCCCAGAATTGAACTTGTCATTGCATGCATGCATACACATGCACACGCACAAACTTTTTTCACTTGAGCTGCAAGTGTGCAATGATCTGGAAAAATGAAGAGTGAGTTGGATTTGATCTACTTACGGAAGAAAGTACTCCACGAGGTTGCTGAGAGTTTGCTTTAATGTCATAATTACAAACATCTGAATGAAAAGGTCTGTAATGCAACCACTCGGATGACACTAGACAAAGAAAAAGGAATGCGCTGTAAGCAAAGAGTGCTTCCAATGTCATTTTGTTTTGTACTCTCACTCTGCAAAAGGCGTACAAGGAAAGAAAATGATGCACATTTGTACATTTGTTACGGTTTTTTCCAGCTTTCCCTCTCAAGAGCTCAAGGCGGCATACAAGGTCTTTCTTATATCCATTTTATTCTCTCCCAAATCAAATATCACACTGAGAAAGAGTGATCCACCCAATTGGTTCTAAGTACATGATCTGAACTTGTCTTATGCATCTTGCATCCATGGCTACCCATTACTGTCATGAACACATGTATTAGGATGCTTCCTTCTGGTAACTTTTTATAGAACATTTAGAATGCAAGTCAAATGTTATTGTGAGATTTAAGCAACAGAATAATCTCCATCTGGAGCCAAGATTTAAACCATCCCAATATGCTAAGAGATTGATGAAAACAGATGAATGAGAAAGTAATTTAATAGGAGATCAAGTCAGGAGTGGAAAAGGGGATTGTAGTAAAGTAGCTTACTTCTTCCAATCTCCATTTGCCAGCCACACGTACATAAGATCCTGGACGGCCATTAATCCTAATAAGGAAGTGAGATTAAAATATAAATTGTTCCCAATCCTAATGATAGCTTTGATAATTATCATATACAGAATGATACATTAAAAAATCCCAACAAGAGTCAGGTCTTCAAAGGACATGGATAAATGAAGAATTGAGGGTAGGAATCTTAAGTTTTCAATAATGTGGCAAATTTTTCAATAAAACGTAGATCTTGAGTTTCAGCTCTAATACCTGCAGTTGCCCAATACCTACACAACTCTCCCAAGTTTACTACTTACTGTTTACCTCCCTAAGAAGAAAGCAACGTAGATCAGAGAAGAGAAATGGGTGAAGAACTGGAAGGTGAAGACTTTGATGGTATAGCTTTTCTCTCGCTCGCTGAATGATCTTGGCCTCTCTGGAAAAAAAAGGCATAAAACTATACAGTCAATTATAGCCCTTGGAACATCTGATGTTGTCTCAAGCATGCCTTACTCAGTTTCAAGAAAGTATTTGTCATGAAGCACTGAACATCTCTGTAGTGAGTCTTCATTCATCCCCTACAGAAATCTTCAGCTATCAAGTTGTTTTCCAGTTGTATTGAGATTCAATTTGCTTCATCCTTCATGATTGCCCGTGCTATCTTGAGCTGCCAGAAGTTACAGCCCAAAACAGCTGGACAGCTCAGATGAAAACAGGCTGCTCTACAGTCATTCAGTACATATATATTTCAAATAGAAAGATGAATGTATACAGCATCAGATTCTTCTTACCTAGTTCACAGAGGTGGTGTGCAATACACTTGTTCACCTGCAATAGGAATATAAATTATACAAGTGCAGAGTGCCTGCAAAACAGACAGCTTCAAAATAAGCAGCAAGTGTGTACCTTGGTCATAATGATGATGCTTAAGTAGTGCATCACTGCACCTGTCAGGACTGCCACCGTAGTGGCTTTCTCTTGAAGAAATTTTGAGTTGGATTGAGTAAACATTACTGTCACCACAACCCTGTAGATGACCAAGGCATGGGCAATCCCAATCAGCACACATATCTAAAAAGAGGTAAGAAAGTATTGATAGCACCAAAAAGGAAAACATCAGAAGAACAGTGGAAGGCCAGGTGGTCCATCATGTAAGCATGATAAAACTACATCAATTCCATCTAAAGAGTAGTGTGTTGCCAATTTTTTTACTACCGATTTGGGTGCACTCCTGTGCGCAATCGAGTGTGACATTCGGGTGGGTAGGCGGAGCCTCCCGCCACCATTACCGGTTCACCTGATTCGGGCCGAACAGGGAGCAACCCACCTCTGATCTAAAGACATGAGTTATGACCTATGTTGATTAAATAATAAAGTTATTAGTCTTGAAAGTGCCATAAAGTGCCATAAACTCTAAATGTTTAAGTGCTGGCTGATTCCTACTACCTCTCTGAAAGTTTTGCTTGGTTTTTGTTTTTTTAATAGGAAGATGGAACAGAAGATGGCTGGCTAATCTTCTCTCTCTGCCACTTCTTATCCGTAGAAAGTTCTGCTAAGCTTAGATTTTGGAAATAATCTTCTAAAAATAAAATTTCCAAATTTCTCTTTTTGGAAAAGTTGTCCTGCTGCATTATGAAACAGTATAAATATTCTGCTGATTTGTGACAAATTTCAGCTCCATCTGGAACATTGGAGGTTTTTATTTTCATAAAAACCTCCAATGTTTGAAGCTTCTTGGAGAGTTTCACAATGGCCAGAATTATTTTTTCCCTATTTTCCTAGCTCCCAAATGGGATCAGAATCCCATTTGTGTATCCAAGTTTTGGAAGAACAAAGTCCCTTTAGGGAACCTTCAGAATACAAATTTTGACTAAAGTGGACCATCTTTTAAAGAACATCTCTCTTTTGGCAACTATAGTGATGCTATGTGATCTGTGGCAATGCCCAATCCGTCATACATCTATGGGTTCAAAGTTTTAAGATTATTGATGTGCCAGGACAGCTGAATGGTAGGTTTAATTAATGGGGGCAAGAACTGGATTGTAGAAAAAACTTCCATTTCCTGTATCCATTTCTGTTTGAATATACAGTAATCCTGTGGGTTAGACAAAGTAGTACGGGCCAGAAAAATGAACTAAGGGTTTAAGCTGCTGAAAGTGATACTGTCAGCTGCCTTCCAGGAGATTATTGTGTCACCTGTCTGGGTGTTTAAGTTTCTTTATTAGCATTTTAATAAATGTGATATTAGCTTTGTAGCATGGCATCCATATTTCCCTTTAAAGTATAGAAAACCATGTTTTTCTTTTAAAGAAAGCCATTTCTTCTTTTGATAGGGAGAACTAGCCTTTCCAACAACTAAACAATAGGGAGCGTATTCTAGAAGTCCTTGAATATTTGCAAGTATATTAACATATTGACTCAATTGGGAAATAAGGTGATATAGCCCATAAATTTGCCACTTCTGGAATATTATCTGGAATCAATGCTTTCTGGATTCAATTTTCACATGAAATGAATGTTTTATTGTTTGCTTTCCATCACATATACTGAATGTGTGTATTATTTGTTTTCATAGTCTATTAAAAATCTTCCCACCCTTAATAAATACTTTATGCTTTGCCTGAATTACTTAAGTGATTCATATTTTCAAGTTTGCAAAAAATTCCCATTGCAAAGGGTAAAATTGTTTTCTCTCCCAAATTCAGGGAGTAGATCTTCACTCCATACAAACCCCATGCCTAAACTTCTAGGTAACAATTGTATCTTATTCACATATCCCATTGGTGTCCAGCTGGCATACTCTTTCACCATAAGCAGTGAAGACCAGGGAAAAAATGTAATGCATGCTTTGCCTATTATCTAGGCATATATAACATTGCTTATTTTTATTATTTAGAAATAAAGAAATCTTTTGAAATGCCTTTTCATTTACAGGAATCTCTTCTAATTATACTCCAAAGGTGTAGTATTTTTGTTATAAAAATCCAAAATAAATATGAAAAGTAAATTATGAAAACCATCTCCACGTACCATAATAAGAGCTAAAATAAGCACAATTATACTGCGGATATATGAATGCTGATACTTCTCAGGGGTTTTTTCAGGATTATTGATGAGCTCCAAAGCCACTTCCTCCTACAGAAAGAGGTACAGTCACACTTAGCAACCTCTTGTTAAGGTTTCTATTTCTATAAATGTGGGAAGAAAACATCATTATTTGTTCTATTCAGAAAAGAGACTACAAGGAAGAAAGCTTTATTACCTCTTCTGACTCAGCTTTTTCACTCCTATCAATTTTGTGATCCCAGTGGTAACAGTAATCACATTTTTCTTAAATGTCTGAAGGCTTTAAAATTCTGAGGTTATTAAAGTGAGAAGAAAATCTTTTCCTTTATTCCAATTTTATTTCATGATGGTCTCTTGTAGCCAATCAGACTTGGCATTAAGATAATGCTTGAAATCAAAGTTTGAATTGGGATAATATTGTATTTCAGGGACAAACTCTGGATTAAAAAAATGTTTTTTAATCAGCAGCAACATACTAAATGATTAGTTTGCCATTTACTTTAGCCTGTTCCCCAATTCTGCAGTAAAAAAAAAATCCATGGTGAAGTTAGGGGTGAAAGCTGTGGTGACACAGTGGTTAGAATTAAATATTGCAGGCTAACTCTGCTCACTGCCAGAAATTTGATCCTGACAGGCTCAAGGTTGATTCAGCCTTCCATACATCTGAGGTCAGTAAAACAAGGACCCAAATTGGTGAAGGCAATTTACTGACTCTGTAAACTTCTTAGAGAGCGCTGTAAAGCACTATGAAGCGGTATATAAGTCTAAATGCTATTGCTATTTCAGTTCAGCTGCACTAATAAGAGCTACCAGTAGGATATTATGATTATATAGGACTAGCCAATGCAGCCTGAATTCTGACTCTATGGTATGTAAAAGTATATTAGCTACCTCTGTGAATTATCCTCAGAACCTAACAGAAGCAATCAAATAATCCAGCAATTGTAAAACTATTATAATCTCTATTTCATAGGAGATGGAGACCTACGTTAAATTTCCTCAAGTATATGCTGCCCTCATCCCAACCAACAAAATTAGAAATCTCTTTTCCTAAGAGATTTTTGGGGTCATTTGCTCATTTCTGTGATTAGGGGTACATAACTGTGTGCAAAATACAGACATGAGACAACTGAGTTAAAATATGCAAAACATTTGCATACAAAGACAGAAATGGGACAGAAAGCAGTTGGGCTGCAAAAAAAATTCCCAGGCTAATGAAACAAAAAAAGGCAAATGCTTCCTATTTCCACGCCTTTTCCAGGAAATGCCAGAGACAGATCTTTCCATATGTAAATAAGTGCTCTGATTCCACTACTACCCTAATAGCCTCATAAATCAAGGATTGAATATGTGAAGCTATTTTATACAGTGATATACAATTGTCCCAAATAATAAAATACTCTCTTTCAGGGATCTGAGACTGTTTTATTTAGATGATAGGATACAGCTAAAAGCAAGTGTGAGAAGTATATGTGACCCAGGGGTGGGTTTCAACCGGTTCGCGGCGGTCCCTGCGAACCGGGGCAAACCCAGAAGTAAGTAACTTCCGTGAACGGCAAAGGGCCCACCCGCCCACCCGTGCTCCTTACCCG